ACAGAATATTTAATATTTCAAATATTGCGCGGGAAATATAGACCAATAAGAATAGTGACCTTCACGACTATGATAAGCATAGAATTCATTGATAAGAAATTATGTTGTCAAAATGCYAAGTCCTGACGCATGCGCGGTAAGCACTAGGAACGTTGGGATTTGTCCCGGCGCAGATCCAATCGTATTATCAAGCCGTGATTATTATTGATAGGTAAGCATGAGTATTGATAGTATCATGATAAAAATTATAAATATATTATTCTTGTTATTTCAAGTATCAAGTTATTGTATGGTACTATGGTACTATCACAGAACAATAGGTTAGGAAGGTTAGGTATATATTAGTTAGGTACTATGGTCACAGAATAGATGAAAATTACCGTGAAATCACGAGGTCATGAAATCACCAACTAACCCAATATGGCATATTATAATATATATTAACTATGAACTTGTGTTTTGTCCATAGATAATCTAACCTACATAATGGCATGACGACATTTTATTTATTTCGTCATGCACAAATGCACAATGAATTATTTTTTAATGTTTTGTCCGACCGCTCGAGATACTCATCTAACCTACTAACTCTGTCGTTACTCGTTATGACTGACGCCATATTTTTTTCGCAACGCGAACCTCTCCGACCCGCATCACAAGCACGAACATAAGAAACACAGGACTGGACATTATCTTTATTCTATGGGACTGGAAACGAATGATACTACGATACGAGTTACGAGTACACCTTAATATTTAGATTGTGCGGGGGACGAGGGAATTTCGGTTCTTATCAACACTAGCGCTCAACTCTAAGCCGACGGCCGCTATCCGAGTTATAGTTATTATTTAATATTTAATAATTATTTATTAATTATTATTGATTTTGATATTTCTCACTTTCTCAGTTATGCATTTAAACCAAAAAGTTTTGTAAWATAGATTCATCAAGGTCAAAAAATTATCATAGCAACTGGCAAGTAGCAACCCAAACATAATATAATTTTAAAAAAGCGGGTAAGTCGTGGA